ATTTATGCCCAAATATTGGCAACAAGATTAAAGACAGTTTTGCAGGATTGTATAAACAAAGAACAGGCAGGATTCTTGCCGGGCAGGAAAAACCGAATAAGAAGGTAGCTTTTGTATTTGTGGACGCGGAAAAGGCGTTTGATAAAGTTTCACGGAAATTTCTAAAAATAATATTAGACCAGATGGACATGGGAGACCAAATTGCAAGAGGGTTAAAAGCAATCTATGAAAAAGAAGCAAATATAATAATAAATAATGACATGACTGATTATTTTAAAATACAGAAGGGCACCAGACAAGGGTGTCTGCTTTCACCATTATTATTCATTTTGGTTTTAGAAATACTAAATAAAGAAATCAGACTAGACCAAGAAATAAATGGAATATCCTTAGGGGAGAAAATATATAAAATAAGGGCATTTGCAGATGACTTAGTGCTAATGGTGGAAAACCCAAAGGAAAGCATAGCAAAGGCTGCAGAAAAAATGGAAAACTTTGGAAAGGTGTCAGGTTTTGCTTTGAATAAAGAAAAACGAAATTAATGGTAAAAAACATGGGAGAACAAGAGAAAAAGGAACTGGTAGAAAAATTTGGATTACAAATTGTAAAAAAAAGTGAAATATTTAGGAATTCAAATAACAATGAAAAATATAAATTTGTTTGAAGACAGTTTTAAATTTTTTGGGGAAGAAATAAAAAGAGAAATGGAAATTTGGACAAGATTGAATTTAACACTCTGAGGGTAGAATTTCGGCTATTAAAATGAATATCTTACCAAAATTCCTGTTCCTTTTTCAAATGATCCCCATAATAGGTAAATATGATTGTTTTAAAAAATGGAAAACAGACCTAACAAAATTTATATGGCATGGCAAAAAACCACAGATCAAACATAAATTATTAACTGACATAAAAGAGCGGGGTGGCTTTGGACTCCCAGACCTGAGAATATACTATGATCTCTAAATATTTAGAGATGAAGAAGTCTATAAAAAGGCCCAAAAAACTTTGAGAGACTACTTTGAAATAAACATGAACACCAATGTAGAAAAAAGAGTAATCTGGGACGCAAGCAAAGCTGTCATGAGAGGGCTTATGATACAACAGAATGCAATAAAGAAGAGAAGTCAAAATGAAAAGAAAGACAAAATTTTGGAGAAAATAAAAGAAGGCGAGAAGAAATTGAGAGCAAAACCAAAGTCCCAGGAGATTTTGAGAGAAACAAAATTATATAAAGTACAATATATGGAAATGATGAATCAGGAAATAGAATGGAAAATCAAACAAATGAGACAAAAAACATTTGAATCAGCTAACAAATGTGGGAAATTGTTGGCCTGGCAAATGAAAAAAAGACAAAAATTAAATACCATTACAAATTTAGAAGTGGAAGGAAAGAGTATACATAACCCAATTGAGATCAGAAATTGCTTCCAGAGGTACTTTAAACAATTATACACACAAGGGCCACAGAAGGAAATGGACATAGACCAATTTTTGAAGACAAATGGCCTACAAAAAATCTCTCAAGAAAGTAAATTAATGCTGAACTATAAAATATCTGAACAGGAAGTAGAAGGTGCCATACAAAACATGCAACTGGGCAAATCTCCAGGACCGGATGGGCTGACCTCCAGATACGATAGATCTCTGAAAGAGTGGTTATTGCAACCTTTGAAGGAAGTCTGCAATGAAATATTGGAAGGGAAAAGGGCGCCAGAGTCGTGGAAAGAGGCGTATATTACACTTATACCGAAAACAGAGACTGAAAAGACCCAGCTTAAGAACTACCGCCCTATATCGTTACTTAATGTGGATTACAAAATTTTTGCAGACATTTTGGCCAAGAGATTGAAAAAAGTATTGATGGAAGAGATTCATAAAAACCAAGCGGGCTTTCTCCCGGGAAGACACTTGTCCGATAATCTGAGGAATATAATTGATATTTTGGAAAAACTAGAAGTGAACATAAATACTAAAGCAGTTCTGATATTTGTGGACGCGGAGAAAGCTTTTGATAATATCTCTTGGAGTTTTATGAAGAAGAACCTACAGGGGATGGGGGTAGGCCAAGGTTTTGAAAACGGTATAGGTGCAATATATTCTGAACAAAAGGCCAAATTAATTGTAAATGATGTGGTCACGGAAGAATTTAAGATAGAAAAAGGGACACGACAGGGGTGCCCAATTTCCCCATTGCTTTATATCGGTCCTGGAGGTTCTGCTAAACATGATTAGAAAGGACCGGTTGGTTAAAGGTATACAGGTCGGAGCTAAACAGTACAAACTGAGAGCATTTGCAGATGACTTAGTATTGACGTTACAGGAGCCAGAATCTAGCACTAAAAGAGTTTTAGAATTAATTCAAGAATTTGGTCAGGTGGCAGGCTTTAAATTGAACAAGCTAAAAACTAAGGTTTTAGAGAAAAATTTAACACCGATTGAAAGAGAGAGGTTTCAGAATGAGACAGGATTGACTGTGGTAAAGAAAGTGAAATACCTGGGGATTAATATGACAGCCAAAAATGGGAACTTATTTAAAGATAATTATGAAAAATGTTGGACTGAAGTGAAAAAAGATTTAGAAATCTGGTCAAATTTGAAACTTTCAGTGCTGGGCCGTATTGCTGCGATAAAGATGAATGTATTGCCTAGAATGTTGTTTTTGTTTCAGACACTACAAATTGTGGATAAGATGGACTGTTTCAAGAAGTGGCAGAGAGATATTTCTAGATTTGTCTGGCAGGGCAAGAAGCCCAGAATAAAATTTAAGATATTAACTGATGCCAAGGAAAGAGGTGGATTTGCCCTGCCAGACTTTAAACTTTACTATGAATCAGCAGCTTTTTGCTGGCTGAAAGAATGGCTACTTCTTGAAAACACAGACATTTTGGATTTAGAAGGTTTTAACAATGTATTTGGATGGCATGCATACTTATGGTATGATAAGGTCAAAGCACACAAAGCATTTAAAAACCATATTGTCAGGAAAGCATTGTTTAATGTTTGGATAAGATATAAAGATTTATTGGAAAATAAAACCCCAAGGTGGCTGTCACCAATGGAAGCAAAAGCTCTGAAAAGGCTCAATATGGAGGCCAAATGGCCGACATATTGGGAAATTTTGGAACAAGAAGGAGATAAATTGAGATTGCAGAGTTTCGAAAAACTAAAAAACAAAGTGAGAGATTGGCTTCATTATTATCAGATAATGGAGGCATATAATTTGGATAAGAAAATAGGCTTCCAGGTGGAAAAGTCAAAATTAGAGACAGAACTGCTAGAACCCAAAACTAAGAATCTGTCAAGAATGTATAACTTGCTGTTGAAATGGAATACTCAGGATGAAATGGTGAAATCTGCTATGATTAAATGGGCACAAGATGTTGGACATAATATTATGTTTGCTGACTGGGAACAGTTATGGACCACAGGTATGAAGTTTACGGCATGTAACGCCTTAAGAGAGAATATTATGAAAATGATATACAGGTGGTACATGACCCCAGTCAAGCTTGCACAAATCTATCATTTGCCTGATAACAAATGTTGGAAATGTAAAGAAACTGAAGGTACATTCTTTCAGCTTTGGTGGACGTGCCCAAAGATCAAGGCTTTCTGGGAAATGATATATAATGAACTGAAAAAGGTATTTAAATAATACCTTTCTGAAGAAACCAGAGGCCTTTCTTCTGGGCATTGTCGGCCAATTGGTGCCAAAGAAGGATAGAACCTTTTTTATGTATGCTACAACAGCAGCAAGAATACTCATTGCAAAGTATTGGAAGACACAAGATCTACCCACTCTGGAAGAATGGCAGATGAAGGTGATTGACTACATGGAACTGGCGGAAATGACTGGCAGAATCCGAGACCAGAGAGAAGAGTCGGTGAAAGAAGACTGGAAGAAATTTAAAGACTATTTACAGAAATATTGTAAAATTAAGGAATTTTAGAAGGATGTTGGATAGAAACTAAGAGGTTTTTAGCTGTAATACTTTAAGAGATATGAAAAAAGGTTTGCAACTGGGTAATTTTAATGGTAAGGATTTGCTGAACTAACAAATTGAACTGGAATACAAAAAAGGGAGGTATGAGGAGGTCCGGGGAAATAAGTATAGGGAAGATAGGTTATGGAAAATTAATGTCTTTTTAACTGTTTTTTTTTGGTATGTTTCTTTTTATTATTTTTTTTTACTTTTTTTGGTTATATTTTTTTAAAAAAACTTTATTCTTTTTCTTTTTGTATTCTGTATTTTTTGTATTTTTTGAAACTTTAATAAATATTATTTAAAAAAAAAGAGAGAATATACTATGATGTGGCATGCTTTAGTTGGACCAGAGACTGGATTACATTAGATAACAATGACATTTTAGACTTGGAGGGATGGAACAACAGATACGGTTGGCATGCCTATCTAATTTACAACAAAGTGGCAGTGCATAAAGAATTTCTAAGTCATGCAATTAGAAATTCGTTATATAAGGTCTGGGTGAGACATAGAATGTTGTTAGAACAGAAAACCCCATGGTGGGTTTCACCGCTAGAAGTAATATCAGTTAAAAAGAAAAATACGATAGGAAGATGGGCGACATACCAGCAGCTCCTAAAGGAGGAACAGGGCCAATTAAAATAAAGACCATACGAAGAGGTGACCCAATACTGCACCACATGGTTACAATATCATAAAACTGCCCAAATATTTAATCAGGATAAAGCAATAGAATTTGAAAAAGAAGAATCAAAATTACAAAAAGTTTTACTACAATACTCGGAAAAGAGTATATCCAAAATGTATAATTTTTTATTAGAATGGGAATCAAAGGATGAAGAAATAAAAGAAGTTATGACTAAATGGGCATGCAAGATAGGTTATGGAATTTGGCTGGAACAATGGGAGAAATTATGGAAATGTGATATTAAATTTACGGCATGTTACTCAATCAGAGAAAATTTGATGCAAATGGTGTACCACACTTGATCTTAGCCAAAAGGCCGAGAAGTTTCGGCAGCACATATACTAAAATTGGAACGATACAGAGAAGATTAGCATGGCCCCTGCGCAAATGGTGTACCAATGGTACTTACCGCCAGTAAAATTGTCTAAAATTTACAAATTAAAATCAAATACCTGTTGGAGATGCAAGAAAGAAATAGGAACAATATTTCATATGTGGTGGGAATGCCGACCTATTAAACAATTTTGGAATGAAATATATGAAGAAATCAAAAAGATGTTTAAAATATCTTTCAGTAAAAAACCGGAGGCATTCCTTTTAGGTATAATCACTAACGATATACTTGACAATCAAAGGAAAGTATTCCTTTATGCAACGACAGCTGCCAGGATCCTTATAGCAAAAAATTGGAAAGGGGAAAAAATTCCATCAATGAAAGAACAGCAAATTAAATTTTGTGAATATATAAATCTGGCAAGACTCACAGCATTCATAAGAGGACAATCGGACCAGAAATTATTAAAAGAATGGGAATGTGCCAGAGTATATGAAAAAATATGCGGGGACGCGGGTGGCGCTGTGGGTAAAATGCGGGGACGCGGGTGGCGCTGTGGGTAAAACCTCAGTGCCTAGGACTTGCCGATCGCATGGTCCCAGCTCCCAGGCATCATTCCAAAACTGGGCACAACCAGAGGACCCCTCCTGGAACAAGTTAGTGGCCTTTTGTGGTAGGTGGGGGTGGGTGGAAAATAGGGATGCGGGGAAATTCAAGTCAGTTCACATTTAAAAGCAAATTTGCCTAATACACAAATGGAGAGCCATCGTACAAAATGTACACTTCTCCATTTTTTAAATTTTTAATTGTATTTATTAAATCCTCCAGTTCACCAGTCATTTAATGCAGATCTTTCCTCTCAAAAAATTAAACCTTGAAGAAAGATGTTTCTTCTCCTTCCTTGTTTTTTCATTAAAGATCATTTACTTACATTTTCTGAATACATAAGGAGCTAGAAAAGAAAAGTTGACTAATATAAAGCAGTGTTAGAAACTGAGATATAAAAGCTGTGAGCTAAATGGTACCTTAAACCTAGGTTATGGGTGCAGAAACTGAATTTTAGGTGTGCTTTTTTAATAACAAGAATGCAAAGCTGAAAATGAATGAACTGCAGCTAAAATCTTATATTCATTTTTCACATGGTCTAGTCCTCACCTGAAGACTGCAGAAAACAAAGCCATGCTTCACCTACCTGATCAATCAGACGCACTTCCACCTCCAACAGCTGCATCAGCCTCCTCCAGAATTGTGAGGTAAATTGTTTCCCTCTATCTGAAATCACTTGCAATGGAAATCCGTGCAGCTTGAACACATGGTTGACAAACAACTGCGCCATTTCCTATGCTGATGGCAACTTTGAACACGGCACAAAGTGCACCATTTTCGTGAACAAGTCCACCACCAGCCAGACTATTGCCTGTTTCCGAGAGGGTGGCAAGTCCGTGATAAAGTCCATCGCGACCGCCTCCCAAGAGACTTCGCTCTCCTTCTGGGAAGGGCCATTCCTAATGTCAAGAATGATTGGTGGGTGCTAGCAGAGATAAGAGTCCGGGAATCCAGCCATATTTACAAAGATTTATTGGTTTCTTCTCGCTATTTACAAGAGTTCTAAAAGTCAGTCTCCATAATGGTGAGTCACTTGCCTCCGCTGAAGGAGCTTTCCGTTTCCCCCAGCATATCCACTTCCTGAGCCCAACCCCCTTCATTCCTCTGTTACAAGAGTGGCTGGGGGCTTCCGGGTTGGCGCCATCGGTAATGGCGGACTCCCTCTGACTTTCTGAGGGACCAGCTCCACGGGATCGGGTCTGCACCGCTGCGGCGAAGCGGGGACCCTTTAAAAATCACAGGCGGGTGAAGCCTGTGAACGTGGGACTCGGCGGGCACCTTTTGCGCCCCCCCAATCTGCGAAGGAACCCATTTATGGGCTCCGGAGTGAAACGGGGCGAGCGGCGCGGTGCTGAGAGTCGACTGCTTCTTCCGCGGAGTGAAGCCGCACAGCCGTTGTTGAAGAGTGCTGACTTTTTCCTGGGACAATTCGATTTCAAAAGCAACTACCCATGAGTAGGGAAAAAATGGATTTAAAGGGAGAAAATAATTAATTCAGCACCGAAGCGGGGAGGCATAAACAGGAAGTCCGCCTTCCGTTTCTTGTAAACAGATCAAAGCAAAGAGACTGTAAACGGAAACTTTGAAAGATGCTTGAAAAAGGACGCAAATCCTAACATCAGAAAAGCGATCTCCCCTCCGGATTGCAGGAGAGGAGGGGGGAAAGGTTTGAACTGTATTTATCTGCAAAAAAAGAGAGGAAAGGAAGCTAAAATCCACCGCTTAGAACCTGGGAACGGATTGCCTTAGGACAAGGAATGCCGTTCTGTGAAAAGCACTATTGGTAAATAGAGTATTTTTGACAGCTAACTCTGCAAGAGAGATACAGTGTTTCTGGACTTCTCCTGGTTTTAAAGTAACTGATTAAGTGCAATTGAAACTGTTGTCTTTTTGAGAATTGGGGGATTTATAAAGATTACTTTCTTCTTAAAGTTACAAGCTTTGACTGTTACTGTGTCCCCCTAGAGGAGGTTTGACATTGCTACAATAACAACTGGGCTAGGGGAATTTTCCATTCCAAAACAAATTCCAGCCGTGGGACTGACCTTGGACTTTTATTAGAGTGTTATGGCAGATGGAAGAGGAAAGTTAGAGATTCAGGAAAAAACTACCAGGTCTGGCAGATCCTTTCGTACAGATACTGGGTCGCAGCAAAGAGCTTCAACATCTGGTCCTTCTGGACCATCTGGATTATCAGGGGCTGCACCCCCACAAGTTAAACCAAAAGGAATGTCGTCTGAAGACGTTTTAGCTTTGGCACTAGGAAAAATTAATGAATCTTTGGAAAATTTAAGTAAGCAAGTAGCTGAAACAAATAAACAAGTAGCTGAAGCATCAGTTAAAATTGACCAAAATACTACAAGTATTAATAATTTGGGACAGAAGGTGAACACCAATACAGAGACTATTGAGAAATTGTTACAGGAATCTGCTTTGACCCGAAAGACAGCTGAAGAAGCAAAGGACATAGCAATTGCTACTGAAGAGAAGATACCACCGATATACAGGCAACTTGAGGACCACGGGTTGACGTTGTCTATGATTGAATTGAAGGAGAAACAAACGAATTTGAGAATCAGGGCTGTACCTGAACTTGAGAAATATAATTTGATTGACTTTCTTACGCAGGAATTTGCAGACTTCTGGCAACAGGATTTGGGGAAGGAAGAATTTAAGATAGTGAACGCATTCAGGCTTGGAAGAGGAGGAAAGAAGAACAAGGTGAGAGACTGTTTGATTACCCTTTGAACAAAAGAGGAGAGAGACAAAATCTTGAATCTGCATTTCCGAAAGACTTTGGAAATACATGAGTCAAGTGTGGAGATATTTAAGGACATTCCAAAACATCTTTTGGATTTAAGGTCTAACTCCGGAGATTTGGTTGCCCTGTTGAGAAGCAATAGAATCATCTTTAGGTGGGAATATCCCCAAGGCCTGTCTTTTAAATATAAAGGAAGAAAGATAAAAATAAGATCAGTCGTTGACAAAGATAGATTCTTGAAAGACCACGGAGAAGACTTACAGAAAGAAGTGGAATCTGGAGAAGAGCCAAAAGCACTGGAAAGAGGAATATTAGATATAGCAAATTTATCCTTTGGATTGCATGGTTCAGAGAAAGTGACACCACCGACAGAACAAGAACAAACACTTGGTGCAGTTGGAGGTAAAGCAAAGTAATAACATCATGGCTCTGCAACTATTAAGTTGGAATTGTAATGGTCTTAACTCTCCTCGGAAAAGGAAAAGTGTTTTTCATTTATTAAAAAAGGAACAATTGGACTTGATTTGCCTTCAGGAAACACACGTGATAAGGCTACATAGGAAAGTATTGATTAATAAGAGATTGGGACAGGAGTTTATTTCATCTGACAAAGTTAAAAAAAGAGGAGTAGTGATCTATGCAAAGGAGAGACTATCACCGAAATTTATTTTTAAAGACGATCAAGGAAGATTTGTGGCAATTGAAATTCAAATACAAGGAGAGAAATTTTTGATAGTAGGAGTTTATGCACCGAACGAGGGGAAATCTGAATTCTTTAAAAAGTTGCATGAGACCTTAATGGACTATTTGGATTACAATCTGATTTTGATGGGGGATATGAATGGAGTAGTATCTACAAATATGGATAAGGCACAAAGACAGGTAGTCACCAAGGATGGTAGACTACCGAAAACATTTTTTGAGATGACAGACAACTTGGACTTAGTCAGCATTTGGAGAACAAAGAATCCCTTGGGAAGAGAGGGAACTTTCTTTTCTGAAGCCAAGATGACATGGACTAGAATCAACCAAATATGGGTAACTAGAGGAATGGCACCAAAGATAAATAAAGCGGAAATTTGTTCAAAAACCTGCTCCGACCACAATGCTGTAAGGATGGAGATGAAACTAATATCAACTGGCTCCTTCAGATGGAGGATGAATGACACCTTATTTAGAGATGAAGATGTGATTAAGAAGGCCCAAAAATCTTTGAGAGACTATTTTGAGATAAATATGAACACTAATGTTGAAAAAAGAGTAATCTGGGACGCAAGCAAAGCGGTTATGAGAGGGTTCCTGATACAACAGAATGTAATAAAGAAGAGAAGTCAAAATGAGAAGAAAGATAAAATTTTGGAGAATATGAAAGAAAGTGAGAAGAAATTGAGAGCAAAAGCAAAGTCACAGGAGATTTTGAGAGAAATAAATTTTTATCTAGTACAATATATGGAACTGATGAATCAGGAAATAGAATGGAAAATTAAACAAATAAGACAAAAAACATTTGAATCAGCTAATAAATGTGGGGAATTGTTGGCTTGGCAAATGAAAAAAAGACAAAAAATAAATACTATTATAAATTTAGAAGTGGAAGGAAAGAACATACAGAACCCAGCTGAGATTAGAAAATGTTTCCAGAGGTACTTTAAACAATTATATACACAAGGGCCACAGAAAGAAATTGATATAGATCGATTTTTGAAGATAAATGGACTACAAAAAATCTCTCAAGAAAGTAAATTAATGTTGAACTATAAAATATCTGAACAGGAAGTAGAAGGTGCCATTCAAAATATGCAACTAGGCAAATCTCCAGGACCGGATGGGTTGACTTCTAGATACTATAGATCCTTGAAAGAGTGGTTAGTACAACCTTTAAAGGAAGTCTGTAATGAAATATTGGAAGGGAAAAGGGCACCAGAGTCGTGGAAAGAAGCGTATATTACACTTATACCGAAAACAGAGACTGAAAAGACCCAGTTTAAGAACTACCGCCCCATATCATTACTTAATGTGGATTACAAAATTTTTGCAGATATTTTGGCCAAGAGATTGAAAAAAGTGTTGATGGAAGAGATTCATAAAGACCAAGCGGGCTTTCTCCCGGGAAGACACTTGTCTGACAATTTGAGGAATATAATTAATATTTTGGAAAAACTAGAAGTGAATATTAACACTAAGGCAGTTCTGATATTTGTGGACGCTGAGAAAGCTTTTGATAATATCTCTTGGAGTTTTATGAAGAAGAACCTACAGGGGATGGGGGTGGGTGAAGGATTTGAAAATGGTATAGGTGCAATTTATTCTGAACAAAAGGCCAAGTTAATTGTTAATAATGAGGTGACGGAGAAATTCAAGATAGAAAAAGGGACACGACAAGGTTGCCTGAAGGGAAGTTTTCTTTCTGCAGTTCTCTTACTGCACATAACTGTGGCATTGTGGGAAGTCTTGCTTCTTTTCTCTTGCATTCTGGGAAGTCTCGCTCATAATCTTCTCTCTGCTTCTGCACAAGAGTCTGAGAATGTTCTGAACAGTTCCCATTGAGTTCATGAAACAGTGTATCCTGACCTGTTCTTAATGCATTGCTGACCACATCTACGGAACGTGATTGTTGTATTCCTTCATGTTATGTTCTCTCAATATCAATCTTTAGTTATAATTTAATTAGGAGGTTTCATGCCTGTCTAGTTCCAGCTCCGTTCCCAGTCTTTAATCTATCAATGATAAATGGACATATGTTATTCCCGCCTTGTACCTATGTTAACCAATCAGCAACAAGATGCTTTGTGTTTGTATCAACCAATCAGCCACAAGCACACCTGTGGCAATGTTTGTAATATTCAATAAAAGAGAGTTCCCGGGGCTTGCCCCGGCAGACGCCTCTCCTTTGACACCCACCACTCGTCTGTCGTGATTTCAACCCAACATCTGGTGACCCCCGACGTGCCAGATCCCTTACGCAGCCAAACCTCATACTTCACCCAACTGGAAAAGTCTCAGCGCGCTACTTCGTGAGTATGGGAGGGGAATTGACTAAATTCCAGAAAGAGCATGCTAAAGAATTGCTTCATTTAGTTAGACAGTGGGAGGTGGGTGTTAATATTTCCTTAAAAGAAATTGAACAATTGCTATGTGAGATTTCTTGCCAATATCCCTCCTATCCAGAGAAAGGCTCTTTGGAAGTAGAGACTTGGCAAAAGATCGGAAAGACCCTTTTTGCAGAACCTAGGGCTCCGATTCATTGTCTGCTCACTTGGCAGAAATGTGCAGATGCCGTTGCTAAATTACCACAGGCGTCTCGCTCGACTCCTGCACTTCTAGCCATCGCAGACAATCCCCCACCCTACCCACAACTTTTGCCTCCTTCTCCTTTGCAGCCCAGCCAATCCCTCCCTGCGTCTCACCCTCCTCAGCCTGCATCTTCCCCCCCATCCCTCCACCTCAGCCTGCATCCTCCCCCCCATCCCTCCACCTCAGCCTGCTTCCTCCCCCCCATCCCTCCTCCTCCTGCCACAGCCCCTGTTTGCTCTATAGGAGCTGTGCGCGTTGCGCTCTCTTTGGCCAGGCAGAAAGGGCTCCTGTCCTTAGAGGAGGAGTCTGAGTGGCCAGGTGAAATGCCGTCTGCTTTCCCTATCACCTATTCAAACCCTGGAACTGCTCAACAGCAGGTTTATTATGAATCGCTTCCTTATTCTGTAATGAGAGAATTAAGGAAAGCCATTGCTGATTCTGGTCTAAAATCCTCATGTGACAGGGATGCTAGAAGGCATAGCAACTGGTTACATTATGCTACCTCAGGACTGGAAAGACCTGATGCGCATGCTTTTGTCCCCTGCTCAGTATGTGGTGTTTGAGAGTGAATTTAAGCATAGCGCATCAGCCCTGTCTGATCCTCAACATACTGCCAATGAACTTTATGGTGCTGGTCAGTTTGCTGATATAACTGCCCAAGCAACACTGACACCTGTACATTTTGTTCGCACCGCGACCTGTGTACAACGCGCCTTTCGGAAAGTCCCTGTCTCTGGGCAACCGCTGAGCTCCTTTGTAAATATTAAGCAACAGCATTCGGAGCCATACCATCAGTTTATAGATAGATTGAAAGAATCAGTCACTAGGCAGATTGATAACACCACTGCTCAAAATGAATTGATGAAAAAATTGGCCTTTGAAAACGCAAACATGGATTGCAAGAAAGCATTGCAGTCAATCATACATCGCCCTAAATATGACCTGGCCGATATGATTCAAGCTTGTGCGGATGTCGGTAGCCAGAGCCATGCGATGTCTTTGCTTGCCGGCACAATCCAAGCAACCACTAGGCCTACGGGTAACTGCTTTAATTGCAAGCACCCAGGCCATTTTGCCAAGCAATGCAGAGCCCCTGGCGGGGGGGGCACACAAGGATGGTGCTGCCTCTAAGGCTAAACCTTCAAAAAAGTGCCTGAAATGTGGCAAAGGCTATCATTGGGCTAATCAATGCAGAAGTCCGGGAAACTCCATTGCGGCCCCACTCTCGGGCCAGGGCAATTAGAGAGTTTTCCACCTTTAGTTTCTACTGCTGCAAACTTTTCAAAAAACACACCCTCTGAATTTGCCATTGATTTGATCAATCAGGAGACCAAAGACTCTGCTTTACCTGGTGAAATTGTGCTTATGCCCACTCAGTTGGCAGGCCCCCTGCCTCCTAAAGTCGCAGGTTTAATTTTACCCAAATTTTCTGCGGCAAAGGAAGGAATCCAGGTTATTCCTGGGGTTCTGGATCCTGACTATGTTGGCACAATAATGGTTCAACTCTGGAGCCATATGCCCATGCAATTAAAAAAGGGTGAGTCTTGGGCGCATTTGGTGGTGCTCCCTTCTCATCCTACTGCTTCTATTATGGATACTAATTTGCACGAGCTCTCTTCTTTCCCTCCACAGCTGTTAGCTGTAGTCCAGAGGATTGGTGAAAAGAAACTTCTTCGAGAAGGATCGTAAATTCTTTGCTTTTACCGTTCCTGTGTTAAATAACAGTCAGCCCATGGAACGGTACCAATGGAAAGTCCTACCACAAGGAATGTTGAATTCCCCTACCATGTGCCAATACATCAGCCATGGAACACCTTGCTGTTTAAGCTGTTTGTCCATCATTTTACCCAAGAAGCATCATTTATCCCGCTCTCGATATCACTGCAATATTGAATTGACTAATGATTGTGATGCTTTTGTCTCTCTTCTCAGTAGGTCTGAATATATCTTTTTAGTTGTTTCTCTCTTAGGAGTCCCTGGACTGGCTGTACGGAATCGCATGAACATTAATTCTTAAGCTTGTTCTGAAGCAAAAACCCTGAATTTTACTTCACAACCTCTTCACCTTTTGAATAAAGAACAGTGAACTCCACTATGGACTTTTATGAAATCGTGCTGCTATCACTATTTGCTCATGCTTCATCATTATGGCTGTGAACAAGTGAATGACATGTGTTGTTTCAATATTATTGACAATTCTAGAGCCATTCAAAGCCAAATCTCTCATTTGCAAAATCTTACACATCACATTAAACAGGACGTTGGATTTTCTGGCCTCTGGGATTCTTTCACCCAGTGGCTTACCGCTTGGTTGCCAAACCTTACTTGGCTTCGTAGTCTTTTTCAATATGCTATTGTCATAATTTGTATTCTTGTTTTGCTATGCTGCTTCCTTCAATGCGTTCCTAGCCTCATAAGTCTTTTCTCTCTGCTTCTCTCTCCCCCTCCACCACCCAGTAAACTCCTTGCTGCCTACTTTGCGAAATGGCAACACCAACAGTAACCTTTAGGGGAGATGTGGGCGGATTTATTTTGGGCATGCGCTGGCAAACCACGTATCCTGAAGTATTTTTGTCCCATCGACCCTGGCAAGCTTATTTCGGGCATTCGCTGGCACACCACTAATCCTGAAGTATTTTTGCCTTATTTACCCAGAACGCCTCGCAAACAAGAAAAGAAAGGGAGAGATGAAGGGAAGTTTTCTTTCTGCAGTTCTCTTACTGCACATAACTGTGGCATTGTGGGAAGTCTTGCTTCTTTTCTCTTGCATTCTGGGAAGTCTCGCTCATAATCTTCTCTCTGCTTCTGCACAAGAGTCTGAGAATGTTCTGAACAGTTCCCATTGAGTTCATGAAACAGTGTATCCTGACCTGTTCTTAATGCATTGCTGACCACATCTACGGAACGTGATTGTTGTATTCCTTCATGTTATGTTCTCTCAATATCAATCTTTAGTTATAATTTAATTAGGAGGTTTCATGCCTGTCTAGTTCCAGCTCCGTTCCCAGTCTTTAATCTATCAATGATAAATGGACATATGTTATTCCCGCCTTGTACCTATGTTAACCAATCAGCAACAAGATGCTTTGTGTTTGTATCAACCAATCAGCCACAAGCACACCTGTGGCAATGTTTGTAATATTCAATAAAAGAGAGTTCCCGGGGCTTGCCCCGGCAGACGCCTCTCCTTTGACACCCACCACTCGTCTGTCGTGATTTCAACCCAACAGTTGCCCAATTTCCCCACTGCTTTTTATATCAGTCCTGGAGGTTTTGTTGAACATGATTAGAAGGGACCAGTTGGTTAAAGGTATATAAGTCAGAGCTAGACAGTATAAACTGAGAGCTTTTGCAGATGATCTAGTACTGACATTACAGGAGCCAGAATCTAGTACTAAAGGAGTTTTGGAACTGATTCAAGAATTTGGACAAGTTGCAGGATTTAAAATGAATAAGTTAAAAACAAAGGTTTTAGAGAAAAATTTAACAGTGATTGAAAGAGAAAGGTTTCAGAATGAGACAGGTTTAACAGTGGTCAAGAAAGTGAAATACCTTGGGATTAATATGACAGCTAAAAATGGGAACTTATTCAAAGATAATTATGAAAAATGTTGGACGAAAGTGAAAAAAGACTTAGAAATTTGGTCAAATTTGAAGCTTTCATTGCTAGGCCGTATTGCCGCGAGAAAAATGAATGTATTGCCTAGAATGTTGTTTTTGTTTCAAACATTGCAAATTGTGGACAAAATGGATTGCTTCAAGAAGTGGCAGAGAGATATTTCTAGATTTGTCTGGCAGGGCAAGAAGCCTAGAATAAAATTTAAAATATTAACGGATGCAAAGGAAAGAGGTGGATTTGCCCTGCCAGACCTCAAACTTTATTATGAATCAGCAGCTTTTTGCTGGCTGAAAGAATGGCTGCTTCTTGAAAACACAGATATTTTGGATTTAGAAGGCTTCAATAATGTATTTGGATGGCATGCATATTTGTGGTATGATAAGGTCAAAGCATTGTTTAATGTCTGGATAAGATATAAGGATTTGTTGGAAAACAAAACTCCAAGGTGGCTGTCACCGATGGAAGCAAAAGCACTGAAAAAGCTCAATATGGAGGCCAAATGGCCGAAATATTGGGAAATCTTGGAACAAGAGGGAGATAGACTGAAATTGCAGAGTTTTGAGAAACTAAAAAACAAAGTGCGAGATTGGCTTCATTATTATCAGATAATGGAGGCATATAATTTGGATAAGAAAATTGGCTTCCAGGTGGAAAAATCAAAATTAGAAACAGAACTGTTAGAACCCAAAACTAAGATTTTGTCAAAGATGTATAACTTGCTGTTGAAATGGAATACTCAGGATGAAACGGTGAAATCTGCTATGATTAAATGGGCACAAGATGTTGGACATAATATAATGATGGCTGACTGGGAACAGTTATGGAGCACAGGTATGAAGTTTACGGCATGTAATGCCTTAAGAGAGAATATTATGAAAATGGTATACAGGTGGTACATGACTCCAGTCAAGCTTGCAAAAATCTATCATTTGCCCGATAATAAATGTTGGAAATGTAAAGAAACTGAAGGTACATTCTTTCACCTTTGGTGGACGTGCCCAAGGATTAAGGCTTTCTGGGAGATGATCTATAATGAATTGAAAAAAGTATTTAAATATACCTTCTTGAAGAAACCAGAGGCCTTTCTCCTGGGCATAGTTGGCCAATTGGTGCCAAAGAAGGATAGAACTTTTTTAATGTATGCCACAACAGCAGCAAGAATACTCATTGCAAAGTATTGGAATACACAAGATCTACCCACTCTGGAAGAATGGCAGATGAAGGTGATTGACTATATGGAACTGGCGGAAATGACTGGCAGAATCCGGGACCAGGGAGAAGAGTCGGTGGAAGAAGATTGGAAGAAATTTAAAGACTATTTACAGAAATATTGTAAAATTAATGAATGTTAGAATGATGTTGGATAGAAATTAACTGGTTTATAGCTGCAATACTATAAGGGAATATGAAAAATGGATTACTAACAGGTAAAAATTTAATGTTACAATATTTTAAGATTAATGATTAGGATAGACAAAGAGGGGAAGGATTTGCTGAACCAACAAACCGAACTGGAATACAAAAAAGGGAGGCGTGATGAGGTCCGGGAAACAAGCTAATGAAAAATAAGTAATGGAAAGACTGAGCTGTTTTTAATTATTTTTAATTTTTGTGTTTTTCTTTTTTCTATTTTTATTTTATAATATTTTGAAAATCTTAATAAATATCTTATTAAAAAAAAAATACAAGAGTGGCTGGGCCCCGGAGGTGGCTCCCCCCTCTCAGATTCATTGCCTCCTAACAGCCCTTCGTCACCTTCCTCCTCCGAGGAAGAACAGCTGCTAATTAACGGAGGCTTATCTCTGTAAGTTCCCATTCTCTCCCCCTTCTCTGCCTCCAATTCCCTGACACCTAACATTTTTTATCTCAGTGATAATCATGAGAAATTGATGAGGCCGTAAGATATTAAATGGCCCTTATCTCAGATCAATTTAAACCTGATCTCATTTCTCCAATCCTCTATCCTCTATCAGAATGCATTCCAGAATACTGATTTGTGGTATTAAGGCCCTTGGAAGACCTGTTTGGCTTAGTAAGAATGAAAATGACCACTCACAGCATGAACAAAGCTACTTATAAATTTTGGGATAAAATCCATGGCTTCCATCAGTTTCTGGAACCTTTCATCTTCAAGAGCAAACCAATGCCCAAAAGCCACAGCACATATCACGTTGGAGACTGAATTAGTGATGGGCATGGAAGGGTCAAGTGGCTGCCCTGCAAAATAAAATTATACTAATGTTAGTTCAGCTGCTCCTGTTCATACTGAGAGTGGGATTTCATGGTGGACAAGAGAAACTGCTGGGATCTCCATTAGGAACCAAGAAAAACATAGCACATTCCTTTCTAAAATGGACAGAGGTAGTACACAAATATATCTTCATACGCCAGCTCAGCACCATCACCTAGCATCACATACCCTTTGAACGTGCAAAAACCTCCACGAGCTGATGAGCCTCCCGTGCTATTTGGTGCTATTTCTTCCCCAGCCCCAGCTTGCGCATAGTAACTACACCAAAGCGTCTCTGTTGTCTCCAAGTGTGACCATTTGATAATGCAATACCTATGGAAAATCAAGGAGAAATTATTACTTACAGAAATCAATGTAAAAAGTTGCCATCTCAGAACAAACAATGTTTACTGAAGTTCATGCCTTTGCATGAAAGAGCTGCTTAGTCTCTCTAAAGCAGAGAATTACAAGATGATGCAGAAAGGATTCTGGGTATAATTTGGAGGGAATTTAGAGGAAAAACCTATCAAGCTTCTGGTGATGCTATTGGGGGGAAAATGGAAGTGGTAGAAATGGTAGAAAGTGCTTTTCTTTTTCTCTTGATAAATTTCCCTACAGGAAATGGGATCATAAGATATAAATAAAATACATGTGTAAAATAATGAATATACAACAAGTAAATAGCTATGGGTTTTTTTTAAAAAAAATGACTACAGTGGAGATTTTCCTGTTTAAATAAAAATGAAGGAATTATTGTTTTCAAACATAGAGGAATGGTTGGAATTTTTTTTGGGGGGGGGAGGGAGAGATAAAGTCATCATCCTGGATTGGAAGAGGACTATTCTTGACTCATAGCAATGTTTGGGGCTGAAGATGGGAGAAAATATCACCTAGCAGAACAAGGAACAGCTGGATATTATCTCGGAATACAATTGGATAGCATACTGGAATGAACATTTAGAATATTTTGAATACACACATGAAGTTGAAATCTGGCTAGTGAAAGACCCTGTGTGAGAGGCAGAGAAGGAAAGATCTCCCAGGGTGGGAGACTGGGGGAAGAAAGGGAAGCACCCAGGTGAGAGCTGGGAGGGTCCACTCCCTTCTGTGTGAGACAAGATTTAAGATCTACGTTTGAGAGAGGGCTTGGCGTTTCTTTCTCTCCTTTACTTTTTTTGTTTGTTTGCTTAGTGAGCGTTGCTGAAAAGTTTCAATAAAAAGTATGGAAAACCAAACAAACCCAATTCAGCCAATTTTTCGACACTGTTTTTAAGGATATAATGTGTGGTGTCAACCAGTTACTACTTCTACTGGTCCAGCTAGACAGGTTTGGGTTTTTTTTACTGAGGGTGAATTCGGCACCATATTTTTGACAAGACGTAATGCATCAATGGTGGATATATTCTGCTTTGTTAATTCTTCTGCAACGCTGCCTGAACACTCCCACATTATTGATGTTTGGGGAAACTATATATATTGCAAAAGTGCGACAAAAATAAGTCTGTGCATGTGTAGTTTTCAGTAGAAAGTTAAAGGATGTGATAGAATGGAAATGAAACTGTATGACCACCTCAAAATCTTTGCAGGCATAAATAGTATTGCAAATGGAGTTGGATGTAACCACCTTGAAATTATTATGAGCACAAATCATGATGAATGTGTAATCAAAAAGTTTTCTAGAGGAGTCCTTTGCTACATGAATCCATGCCCAAAAGATGTTGGAAGAGCTTGCCGAGAGAAGCAGTCTTTTGTGCTTCTTAGAGATGCCATAATCACCCAAATCTCCACATGTGCTGAAGCCAGGTTTTCATACACCCAAACTAATGTGTCATATGATGGCATGAGGACTAGCCACACTTAATTTAAAAAGATATCCAGCGGGAAAATCCAGCTGGGAACGGAGTCAGTGCTTTATCTCTCATTAACATTCTGCACTTGCTCCTCAGGCTTCCTGCCATGCCTTCTTGCTCTTTGAAGTTACACAGAATGATTGGTGCTGATATTATTCTTTTAATTCCTGCCAATTGAGCTGTAACGTATGTCTATGATTAAATCATAATTTCAAAAAGGTTTCTACATGCTTCTGCTGATGAGGAATAGACATCCTGATCCACTTGGGGGATTCTGAACCTACTGCGATTCATTCACACGAGTGACAGAAGCAGCAAGTCCTGCAACAAAATTTGGGATCTTTGGGGCTTATTTATGTAAGATCATGCTCACAGTACACTCATTGGAATTAATGAAACTAAATTAGTCATGTCAGGCAATTTCATCATGTCTACTCTTAAGTGGGATTATGCTCTCTATAATCCTCCCACATGTACTTAAAGACTTGTACATGGTGCAAT